TAATATGTTCAAGAGTTCTTCTCCAAATAACCTAATCTTTACACACTCTACTGTTCAGTGCCACGGTCTGTAAACATGTGGGTGTGGCTGTGCTCCAATCAAGCCTTATATACAAAACAGGTGTCTGGCTAGATTCAGCACATGGGCCATGGGTTGCCAATTCCTGAACTAAAATATTGTCTAGGTATCAAGAAGCTCTAGAATTCTAAGATTCAGATACAGTAATTGATGTAACTATTTAATATACATTTCTTTGGAATTTTTTGTTGTGGAATTGTGTATATTTTCTGCTGTGTCTACAATCTGCCCACATTTTCTTTATAAGAAAAGGAATATTTTAATTTTACAAATCTTTGATAGCTTTAGAACTCATTCTAAGGGAATAGAGGCTGGATGTGTTGTACACATATAATTATATATTAACCATGTCCTTAACGTTCTTTTATTCCTAGACAATAATTCTATTGTCTACAATTCTTCGATGGCTAATCAGGAATTTCTATTCAAAGCTTTTAAACCATTATTTTACAAAATAGTGTTAATTTCATTTTTGATTCATATGTTTAAATTATTAGCTTTTTAATAAAATCAGATATGTATTAATAGTTTAAGTATCAGTGACCCACAACCCTATACATGAATGTAGTGTGACTATTTAAAGACTGAAATTGAGCTCAATTAGCATATAACACAAAAATAAATAAGAGTCAAATTTTAGTGAGAAGGCAAGAGAATGTGAAGGATATACATTTGAAATGTCAAATCATGGATTATATGAGGGAATAACATTGTTCAACAAAACCGCTCTTAAAAACCTCAACCCTCCTTTACAACAGTGAACACGAAGCTTGAAAATTGCCCTGGTGATAAATGAAACTTGCTGTTTTCAGGAAAATGTCAGGTTGCAAACTATACTCTTGTTTAAACAGAGCTAAGAGAGAGGCCACTGTGTGTGCTTGACAGTGACAAATGGCTTCCAGAGAAAATAAGGCAGCGTCTACCCATCCCTGCCTTCAGCAAACCTGTTTTGCCGGCTGTCAAACCTTTGGCCTCCTTTCTATCTGTCTCAAGTGATCATGGGAAATGATTGTAAGTCGCTTAGTGTCTTCACATTTACATAGACCCCTTCATTGCAAATATTTCACACCACTTTAAAGTCTGCATATGTGAAGAGTGTGTTACCTGAAATGTAATTAATAAATAAATGTTGAAGACTTCAACCAGTTTTAAATAATCTCCACTATCTTTGCTGACCATAGATAGCTCTTCCCTGGTTATCTGTGGAACTTTGAGGGAAGTATATTTAAGCCTCAGTATCTCAAGGTCACCAGAATTTAAAAGAAAAAAAAAACCTGATGCTTATCTAACAAAGTGAGAAAATAAATACATAGGTCAAATTCTGTGACCGTTGTGAACAAAGGATGGGCCAGATTTGCTGAGTTAGTTAGCTCTGGAACATGATGGGGGAATCTAGCTTTTTTCTATAATACTGTGTGAGGATTTTTATTCTAATTATGGGACACTGTGGATAATAAAGTTTACTAAAATGTTATTTTGAGAATAAGACTGTCCCATAAAGAGAATGGATAAATTATGGTTTGTTTTTACATTATAATATAGCACAGCAAAACAAACAAACAAAAAAAAAGGACAAACCTCTGGTACCTGTAAAACACGCATAAATCTCACAGACACAGTCTTGAGCAGAAGGAACCATACACAATCATACTAACAGTATGATGCCATTTATGTGAAGTTGGAAAACAAGTAGACATACTTGTGGTAACAGAAGTCTGAATAGTAGTTAATTCTGTGTGGAGATGGGATTAGACTGGGAAAGAGCATGGGAGAAACTTATGGTTTCTTCATGTTAGTGGTAGTTACATGGGTCCATATACAGTTATAAAAATTAATCAAGCTGTATGTCTAAGACTAGTGTACAGCATGAACTGTAGGGTACATGAACTTATGCTAGTTCTCAATTTTTTAAATCCTGAAGGTAAAATATTAATAGATGGTCAATAATTCTAAAATAAGAGATAGTGACTATAGAAAAGATACAACAGGACACCAGCAAGTCACTAGTGGGGAATACAAATGGGAATATAACTGGGGAACAGAGGAAAAGAGCATGAAAATAAAGGAGAGAAGAAACAACAGTGGAAGCAGGAAAGAAAAGCATTAAGTGTAAGTGAAAGACAAAAAATAATTAGCTTGAATTAGGCTTTACCTTCAGAGAATCCCATGTGATGTACAACTTCTTCATGCCTAGCTTTTAATCTGTTTTCTAATCAAGAAGAATAAATTAGCAAAAAGAGCTAATTTTTGGACCAAGTAAGGTAGAGGCAACTAGCTTTATAATCATAAATCAAAACATACTAGAGAAGCACAAAAATCCAGTCAGTGTGGTAACAGTCCAAAATGCACAGACAATGGAGGACCATGGGGGAGAAGAAGGGGGGAAAATAGTGGGGGAGAGGGAGGGAGGCAAACCATGAGAGACTCTTGAATTCCGAGAACAAACTGAGGACAGATGGGGGTGGGGGAGAGGGGAAGGCGGGTGTTGGGCATGGAGGAGGGCACTTGTGGTGATGAGCACTGGGTGTTATACGGAAACCAACTTGACAATAAACTATCTTTTTAAAATGCACAGGCAAGATAGGTGACTAAAATAAACAACCCAGAAACAAGAACCTTTAATTTAATTTAATATAGATGGTTCCCGACTTATGACACTTTAACTTAGGGTTTTTCTACTTCATGATGGAAGGAAAGAGATACACATTTAGTAGAAACTGTACTTGGACTTTTGAATTTTTATCTCTTCCTAGGCTACCAATATGCAGTACGATCATCTCTTGTGGTGCTGTGAGGTGGCAGCAGCTGCAGCTCCCAATCAGCCAAGCAATCACGAGGGTCAACAACCAAAACATTTAGAACCACCTATTCCCATACAGCCATTCTGTTTCTCACCTTCAGTACAGTGTTCAAAAGATTACATGGGACAGTCAACACTGTATTTCAAAATAAGCTTTGCGTTAGATGATTCTGCCCAACTATAGGCTAACACTGAGTATGTTTAAGGTAGGTGATACTAAACTATGATGTTTGGTAGGTTAGGTGTATTATATGCATTTTCAACTTAATATTTTCCATTTATAATAGGTTTACAGGGATGTAACCCCACCATAAATTGAGGAAAATCTCTACATTATAAAAAAGTTATCAAACATGAATAAGGATGGGTAAAAGTATTCAATACAATTGGTTAAATCCTATATAACCTTCTCAATATAGAACCAGATACATTCCCAGAGGGTGAGTGGGGGAATGCCCAAAAGTCTTAAGAGATCTGATTACCACTTGCAGAAAAGCTGAAGTAAATATTAACTATGAACATGGAGTTAACCAAAAACATGTCAGAAAAAGTACAGATGTTTGTGTTGTTGTCAGAAGCCCAAATTGAAATACCCAAAGCACTTCCTCTCCTATGGGGTCAGAGGCTCTTCAAGGAAGATGTGCCTATTACTGTCATTTTCTTATTTTGTGGCAAATTTATCCTTTTCTAATCCCTCTTTTTGGGGATGAAGTCCCCACAAGATCTGTTGAACTAACATACAACAGCATGATTTCTTGCCCACTTTTCAATTTTTGATGATGGTACACTGGTGAAATGAAGACAAGTAGAAGGGGGAGCACCTACTCATATATATAACTTAGTAACTTTCTTTTAGTAACTTTCTTTTTAAAAGAAAAAATTTTAATGTTTTTTATTTATTTCTGAGAGAGAGAGACAGACAGACAGACAGACAGCGTGAGCAAGGGAGAGTTAGAGAGAGAGGGAGACACAAAATCTGAAGCAGGTTCCAGGCTCTGAGCTAGCCACCAGCACAAAGCCCGACACGGGGCTTGAACCCACAAACCATGTGATCATGGCCTGAGCTGAAGTCGGATGCTTAACCGACTGAGCCACCCAGGTGCCCCAGAACTTAATAACTTTCAAAGGAACAATCCCTAGTGATTCCTGGGTGGCTTAGTCAGTTGAGCATCTGACTCTTGATCAGTTCAGGTCATGATCCCAGCCCCAAGTAGGATCAAGTCCCAAGATGGGTTCCACACAGAGCATGGAGCCTGCTTGGGATTCTCCTCTCTCTCTCTCTCTCTCTCTTTCTCTCTCTCTCTATCTCTCTATCTCTCTATCTCCCTCCCTCTGTCCCCATCCCCTGTTCACACATGTTCTTTTCTTAAAAAAAAAACTTTTTTAATCTCTAAACCATTAACTGAACATGCTCAAATTAAATGTATCAGAAAGGAATGATTTAAGACCCAGACAAACATTTATGCTCTAGAATATTTATTGCAATGTGATCTATAAGAATAGTAAACTTTGGAAAGTACCTACTTGTCCACCCAAAAGAAACTGATTAAATAAACTGTAATATGTCAGCATCATGGAACATTATACAACCAGTAAGAGTTATGCATTTGAAGAATGCATTGTTTCATCCTCATAAGACCCTATGTGTACTATTTGCACTCACATTTTAGGAGGAAGAGAAGCTAAGATGGCAACATATTAGGAGGACTCTAGGCTTGCCTTGTCCCTTGAACACAGCTAGATAACTATCAAACAGTTCTTCATTCTCAAGAAATTGACCTGAGGATCAACAGAATAGACAGGCCACACAACTACAGGGAGAGAAGAGGCCACATCAAGGAAGGTAGAAAGAGTGGCTATGTGGTTTGGGGGAGCACACACATATTACAAACAAAGAAACTGAGACTCAACATGGTTGTTGGCAGGAGGTCTCAGTTCCTAACTGCATGGACCTCTTCCTAAGGTTGCTTGAGTGTACCCATGACATGGAAGCTGGATTCTCCCAACAGCACTGAGCCAGAAGAAACAAGACAATGTCACAATGTCTTTTATGACCTAACTTCAGAAGTCACATGTTTATGGAATTCCATTGGTAACACAGGTTAGTTACCCCTTTACAATGTGGGAGAGGACTACAGAAGCACATGAGCACCTGGGGGAGAGAATCAGTGAGTGCTGCTTAGAGGTTGGCTGTCATGGGGATCTTTATGAAGGGGGTTTCACTGTAATATAGACAAAGCCAATATTTTGAATATTTTCTGTCAGAATTGTGACAGAATCTCTCCAAGCCATCCTGGGAGTCACTTCCACAAAGACTAAAAAACAAATTGTTTTCTTGCTTGAGGATGTTGGGAACCTGATGGTTGATGAGCCAATAAGTATATATGTATATGTGTAAGACCTGGAGACAAGATGGCAAGGTTGTCGTTCCCTCAGATAAAGTCAAATCCTACAGAGGAGCACTCCATCAATGGCCTCTTTACTTCTTTCAGACTGTAAATTCCTCATCTCTTTCACATATTTATTTCCAAATAAGCATAAGTTGCATTGGGTAGCGTAATTGCTGGTGCCATCATTTAGCAAATAGAATTTAGTGCCTATTACCTGCCATTCCTCCCTGCCAGGTGCTAGAAACTCAGTGCTGAAACAGACACAGGTGCTCAGGAAAACAGGTAGCAGGTGATGCATTTGGGCAGAGTTCCAAAACCTCTTAACTTCACCTATGCAGAATTCCTATGGACATCTACACTTGAAGTTAGAGGATTGCAGTTCAATTTTCCAACAGTAAGGAATTTTCACTGCCATGACTGTAGATGTGTGTCCTGGGATAAGCTGAGTAATGTTTCAAGTCACTGACCTGAATGAGGCCATTTGCAAAGGATGTAATCTGGCACACAGTTTTCAAGCTCCTATTCCAAAAATCCATAGATTTCATTCCCTGAGGTCTCAGGCATCAGAACTGATGGAAAAACAAGGTGGTTTTAGGAGATACCAGTGGATTAGTCCCCAAATTCCCTAGAGGAACTGTTTTGAACTCCACCATAATATAATTTTGGTTGAACAGTAACCTGATGCTCTATACATTTTGTGACCAACACCGGAAAAAGGATATGAGAAATATGGGGAAAGTATCTATTTTATTTATATTTCAGGTAGCACCTTTCTCCAAGGAGCTCAGAAAGCTGCATGAACACTAATCAGCATTATATATGGTGCTTCTGTTCTCATGTGTTTGTTTGAATTTTTCAGTACTGCTTCCACTGTGGTTTGTTTTTTAACTTTCTTTCTCCTGTTGCTACTCACAGTTCTAATGTTCTGGTATATCCATTTACTAAAGTGACTCAAGACTTATGTTTTAGGAATCTAGAATACCAAGATGACATGTTTAAAAATAGAATATTTTTTATGATTGCAACCTAGTTATTCAGACTTTGATATATTACATGTTGAATAAATGCATGAGCCACTAAGAAATATTAACAGCATGTCTTGCTTATGTCAAAGTGCCAGTAAATGTACATAGAGCCACTGGGAACAAAAAATACCTGAAAGGTAGGTACAGGTGCTCTTCATGTGACCCAGTGGGGCTCAAGATAATAGCTTTAGTAGTGATTTGGCAGCAGTTGGGCAGAAAGATGTAACTTGGATTTGAAGCCAAGACAGGCCACCTAGAGCTGCCCTGCAGTGGGAAAACCCAACTTCATGGTTCCTGCATCCAGCCCCAGAAGGGTGGCTGGGTCTCCTTGCCCAGAACTTCAGAATAGTAGGATTCAGAAAACCATGTGTCCTGGGCTGTTTCCAGCACAGAAGTGAGAAGGTCCTGGCACATTTTAGTGATGATGAGAGAGGCAGCACAAGAAAGGAGAAGGTGGGGCCTGGGTTTTGGTTTTCTGTTGTTCTTTTTGCTTTTGCTACTGAGGCCCAATATCCCCAATCTTGGGCAATGCAGACACACACACACACACACACACACACACACACACACACACACACAACCAACCCAGCAAGCTATCACCAATTATATTAGCTCCTTCTCTGGGGAAAGATTAAGCAAGGGAGAAGCTAAAAGTTTCCATTCCATGATTGCTCTGCCTTGAAAACCAAGATAACATGTGATGAGGGAAACAAGTTGTTCATTTTACTTGCATTTGACAGAAGACGGGGTCATGGGAGAGACTGTTTTAATTACGGACATTCTTAACGATGTAGAGGAGAGGAGTGTGGGCAAGAACATTACTTCAGCCTCCCTGTTGACAACTGCCATCAGTTATCCACCATGACATTTTGAGGAGAAATGAGCAAAAATAACCATTATCATGTTGTCATAAGCTGTTTGGTGGCCACTAAAATGTAGTCTTATGGTTTGACCTCCTCCATGAAATAGCAGACTGGCTTCTCCTTCCGTCTACTCATCGCCTCCCCTTCCACACCCAGCCCTGAGACCGCATTCTCTGTTCAGCCTCAAAGTAAGGTCAAACTTCGAGCCACGTTGGTGATGTCTGTTGGTTTCTTTCCTACAGAAGGAAAATGGTAGCTGAGGAGTTTTGTGGCTTGTATTTCCCGGTGTTATGAATAAACCACTTATGTGCTTAGTTCCTTTTAGGCCAAGCCAATTGTCTTTCAGGCACAAGGTACAATTTGCCTCACTGCATACATGTCCCAAAGGTAATAAAGATCCTTGCCCAGTTTTCCAAATCAACTGACTGCTGGAGACCAATATCACCTGAGCAGCCTTCCTGTCACACGTACCTCTTCAGATCCAGGGGGATGTGGCTGGGGGGGAGAAGGGAGGGGCACTGTCACATGTGCAGCTGCCAAGTCTTGGATCACATGGGTGAATGAATGATGAATGTGACTGCCTTCATCAGAGCTGTGGCTTCCAACAAACTCAGCCAGCTGACCCCTGCCAGCACTGCAGCCACCACTCAGCTGGCTCCTCCTCTCCTTGCTGACACATCCAAACACTCTCCTTGTTGCCTTGGCAGACAGCCTTAGTCCTTAGATGTGGCTGCTACAAAGCGCTATGGAGTCCTGGATGAAGACCTGGTCCAGATTCTGGTTCTGCACATCAACTAGACATGTCAACTCGGGAAAATCATTCCATCCACCCAGTCTGAGACCCATGACCTGCAAGATGAGGAGGATAAGTGAGGTTGTTGTTGTTGTTGTTGTTTCTAAAAAACATATAGATGATTCCAGCTATCGTGGACTAGTTTCTTTCTTTTTTTTTTTTTTAATTTTTTTAATGTTTTATTTATTTCTAGGAGAGAGGGAGAGAGCGTGAGCAGGGGAGGGTCAGAGAGAGAGGGACTCACAGGCTGAAACAGGCTCCAGGCTCTGAGCTGGAAGTCAGCACAGAGCCCGATGCGGGGCTCGAACCCGCGAACGTGAGATCACGACCTAAGCGAAAGTCGGACGCTCAACCGACTAAGCCACCCAGGCGCCCCAATGGTGGACTAGTTTCTAATAAATCAAACCTCCCACATAGAACGACTACAAAAGTTGGATCAAATATTAAAAATACTTTCCTGGAGGCAGCAGAGAGTTGAGAAGGTAACAAGAATTTGAGGGGCCATGATCCAAGGCAGAAGAAAAACAGAGGTGATCCTATGTTTGGTCTAGCCCTTGCCTTTGACAGATTTGTAGATTCTAAAGCATCGACCTAAGGGCCTAAAGACTGAATGGCAAAACAGACAAAACCAGCAGAAAGTGTTGGCCAGAAGTCTGAGATATACTAGGTGTAGTTTTATGTGCTCTCCCAAAGCTAGGTAAAGGGAACAAAAATTAGACCTCAGAGCATACCAAAGAAAAGCTCTAGATGATACCATCAGCTCTGGGAGGGACCACTGCAGGGATACATCCTAGAAATAATGGCAAACCAGAAACACATCAGCCAGGACAAAGGCTGGGCTCAGCTCCTGACCAGAATAAACCTCCCCTTCTTTAGCAGCCTGTGTAAAGCACAAGTAAAGTCTATGAAGAGAAGACTGTCCAGAGCTTTAAGTTTTCTCTGACATTTCTAAAATATAGCGTTAGGCATTTAATAAAAATTACTTAGCATTACCAAAAGACAAACAACATGAAAATATATATATATATATAGTCCCACAGAAAGTCCAGGTAACAGAATTCCCAGAAAGGAACTTTAAAAATAACTGTGGTAAATATGCTCTAAAAAAAAAACAGAAGAGGGAGAATTCCAGCATACAATTTAAATCAATTTAAGAAAGATTCCATACTGAAAAATAAAGGAACTGAAAATAAATGGGTTCAAAAGTAGATGAGAATTAACAAATTGGAAGAAAGATCAGTAGAAATTAACTAAACTGAGGCACAGAGAGGAAAAAGATGGAAAACACGGAAAGAATATAACAGAAATATGGCACACAGGGAAGAAGTACAATATACCTTTTAATAAACCTCAGAGGTAGAGGGAGGAGATATTTAGCAGAAGCATTATTTATGAAATAATGGCCAGGGTGCCTGCTGGCTCAGTCAGTTAAGTGTCTGACTCGATTTCAGCTCAGGTCATGATCTCATAGCTTAAATTTTTTTTTAATGTTTCATTTATTTCTGAGAGAGAGAGACACAGTGTGAGCAGGGGAGGGTCAGAGAGACAGGGAGACATAGAATCTGAAGCAAGCTCCAGGCTCTGAGCGGTCAGCACAGAGCCCAAGGCAGGGCTCAAACCCACGAACCATGAGATCATGACCTGAGCCGAAGTTGGACACTTAACTGACTGAGCCACCCAGGCGCACCTCACAGTCCTTGACATAGAGCCCCACATCAGGGTCTGTACTGACAGCACAGAGCCTGCTTGGGATTCTGTCTCCCTCTCTCTCTGTATCTCTCCTGCTTGCTGTCTATCTCTCTTTCAAAATAAACTTTACAAAGAGAAGAAATAATGGCCAAAAACTTTCCAAAAGTGACATAAGCATAAAAGCTTAACAAAGGAAACCACAGCCAGCCTATCATAGTGCTATTAGATAGGGAAAATTGGGAGAAAATATCAGTAAAGATATGACTTAAATGAGACAATTAGCAAACTTGACTTATTGAACACAAATGGAATATTACGGGATATTCATGCTTTCTGAGCCCATGTGGAAAATTAGAATAGTAAGTGTGTAAAAGTAAAAATAAAAGTGTGAGGTCATAAAACAAGTCTTAATGAATGTCAGAGGTTTTAAACCAAAGAGTATATGCTTTCTGATCACAGCAGAATTAAGCTAGAAGTCAGTATAAGAAAGATAACTAACACAATCTCTTAGTTTGCAAATTAAATAATACACTCTTAAAATCCCCAGAGACCAAAGTATAAGTCACAGTGTAAATTAGAAATTATGTAGAACAAAGTCATAGCAAAAAATATATATATATCAAAAATCGTAAGATACAGGGAAGCCTGGTAGGCTCAGCATGCAGCTCTTCATCTCAGGGTTGTGGGTTTGAGCCCCAGGTTGGGTGTAGAGATTACTTAAAAATAAAATCTTTTTTTTTTAAGCTTATTTATTTATTTTGGGAGACAGGGAGCATGTGCAAGTGCATGCACAAGCTAGGGAGGACAGACAGAAAGGAAGAGAGAGAATCCCAAGCAGGATCTGCACTGTCAGCTCCAAGTCAGACTCAGGGCTCAAACTCACAAACCATGAGATCATGACCTCATTCAAAATCAAAAGTCAGGAGCTTAACCTATTGAGCCACCTAGGCGCCTCTTAAAAACAAAACCTTAAAAAAAAAGTAGTGAGCTACAGTAAAGCCATACAGAGAGGAAAATTTATGGCTTCAAATGGATATTTGAGAGAAAGAGTAAAGTAAAATTAATGAGCAACTATAGAAGTTAGAGGAGAGGTGCCTGGGTGGCTCAGTTGGTTAGGCATCTGACTTTGGCTCAGGTCATGATTTCACAGTTTGTGGATTCAAGCCCTGCATCTGGCTCTGTACTGACAGCTCAGAGCCTGGAGCCTGCTTCAGATTCTGTGTCTCCCTCTCTCTCTGCCCCTGTCCCACTCACACTCTGTCTCTCTCGCTCAAAAGTAAATAAACATTAAAAAATTTTAAAAAAAAAAAGGGGGGGCGCCTCAGTGGCTTAGTCGGTTAAGCGTCCCATTTTTGCTTAGGTCATGATCCCGCGGTTCGTGGGTTCGAGCCCCGCGTCGGGCTTTGTGCTGACTGCCAGCTCAGAGCCTGGAGCCTGTTTCAGTCTGTGACTCCCTCTCTCTCTGACCCTCCCCTGCTCACGCTGTCTCTCTCTCTCTCTCCTAGAAATAAATAAAATATTTAAAAAAAATTAAAAATAAATAAATAAATAAACATTAAAAAAAAGAAGTTAGAGGAAAAGATCAAATTAAACTCAAAGAAAGGACACAGACAGGAATAATAAAAATGATAGATATAGAAAACTAGTGTACAATACAAAAATCTAGAAAATCAAAAGTTAGTTCTAGAAAGGAAGAAAGGAAGGATAGAAGACACAAATGACCAACATCAGGAATGAAAAAAAGAACATTACTGCAGATTTTGGAACATTAAAAACATGAGAAAATGTTATGAATCTTTTTAAAAAGCCTACCAATATAATACAGGAAGATGAAAATATGAATAGTTCCATATCACTTCATAAAGAAAATGTTAAATAAATTGAATATGTAAGAACAAAACTTCCTTGAGGAAAGTACAGATCCAAATGGCTTCACTGGTGAAATCTATGAAATGCAGAATAAAGAGAGAATACCAATCTTACACAAACTGCCAGCATGCTGGAAAAGAGAAATTCTTCCTAAATCTTTTTATGAAGCCAGCATAACCTTGATACCAAAATCTGAAAAAGCCATTTAAAGAAAAGGAAATTTTCAGGCCAACGTCAGTTGTAAATGTTGGTGTAAAATGTTTAACAAAATATTATAAAACTAAATCAAGTAATACATCAAGAGAATACTATGTCATTACAAGGTTGAGTATATTTCTAAATTTTTTAATCTTTTTTATTTATTTCTGAGAGAGATAGAGACAGCGTGAGCAGGGGAGGTTCAGACAGAAAGGGAGATACAGAATCTGAAGCAGGCTCCAGGCTCTGAGCTAGCCGTCAGTACAGAGCCCGACACAGGGCCCGAACTCACGAACCGTGAGATCATGACCCGAGCCAAAATTGGTCACTTAACCAACTGAGCCACCCAGGTGCCCCCATTTCTAAAATGCAATGTTAGCATTCAAAAATTAATAAATGTAATCCCCCACATTGTTAGAAAAAAAGAAATCGTAAGACATGATAGAGTCATAATGCAAAAGGAGCATTTGGAAAAATTTGACACACTTTTGGTTAAACATCCAACTCTTGATTTCAGCTCAGGCTTAAAAAAACATTGTAACTGATAGATAGTGATATATTCATACAGTGGAATATTATAGAATAATAAAAACAAATATTGACTGAGAGAAGCCAAACACAAAACAATCCCCAATAAATTATTCCACTAATATCCAGCAAAGTTGTCATTTGGTTTTGGAAATTATGACTGGGCTGAGCACTGAGAAGATGTAAGGGGTAGTTTGAGAAGAGAAATAAGGAGGTTTGTGGGTGCTGATAATGCTCTATTCCTTGAGCTAGTAAAAAGCCACAGGAATGTGTGCACTGTGTGAAAATTCATTGAACCCTAATTGCTGACTTGTATGCTTTCCTGTTGCTGCTTTACTCTAACAAAACAGTTAACATACAATTGGCAGCCACGACAGTAATCACTATTTCAGGCAAGAATCGTGAGTGAATGCTAAACTGAGTGAGGTGGCGCCATGATGAAGAATAGGATATTTGTCATATCCAGGTGTCTCCTCACAGGATATTTTTTTTATAAAGCTAAATATCTGATTTATTCACCAAGTTTGAATATTTTATTTTTTCAAAATTTTTAAGTTTATTTATTTACTTTGAGAGAGACAGAGACAGTGCAAGTGGGGAAGGGGCAGAGAGAGGGAGAGAGAGAATCCCAAGCAGGCTCTGTGCGGCAAGCACAGAGCCTGATGCAGGGCTCAAAACCACGAAACTGTGGGATCATGACCTGAGGCGAAACCAAGAGTCAGACACTTAAGCAATGGAGCCACCCAGGTGCCCCATCCTCACAGGTATTACTAATTGCAAAGGGAAAAACAA